TATATAATAACAGTAACAGTAATGATTTAATTTACTATATAATAACAGTAACAGTGATGATTTGGGTCACTGTGACGGGGTTCTTTGGCCTCCAAGAATCCAGGCTCAGTCGGGTTACCGGTGTTGGTGATTTATTGTGCTCAAAAACTCAAAACAGGGTGCAAAAGGAACTAAACATATACAAGATACTCTGGGCCTCAGCCTCCCTCCAGTTACCAGCAATGTAACAAAGAAACAGAAAACAAAAATGGCCGCTCTTCTTCCCACAGCCCTCATTAAATAGTTTAAGCCCCTCACCTCAGGCGCTCTTATTTCTGATTTCTTCTCATAAATCTGTTTTGTCCATATATTACCTCCACAAACAATTGATATACAAAAACAAATAATTTTTACAGCTTAATTCTTTTACACAGATTCATTGACTTATTCAATTACACCAAACTGGGTTTGAACCCGGCAAAGACGCAGCCAGACTGAAGATGACAAGTCCCCGTAGCATAAACACGTACACACACACACACACACACACACACACACACACACACACACACACACACGGCTAACCCCACTGAAATATTACGTATGCACCCTCAATACGCCAGCAGGTAACCAGGAACAGCTTGTGTGTTTTAAGTTAATGGAGCTACTGGGCTCAGCGCGAGCGGATTGGTCCTCACAAGCATAGTATAACAGGAATGTGTGTGTGGCGCGCAGAGTTAGAGGATGTTTTAAGCGACGAGGTGGATTCGTCACAGTCACAATAACCATGACATGAAATTTTCATACCCTACAACAGGGATGTTCTTCTGGCAAACGGGTAGATAAATAAGGATCTCACCGAATTTGGTGGAAGCTGCATCTCGCTCGTTACGTTCGCCATCGTCCCTCTAATTGTCTGCACCTGCGCATTGGGTTCAGAAGCCTGTTAAAGCGCAGTATTTTCAGCGCCCCAAGACCATAAAGTTCTGAGACGCTGATTGGCCATTAAATTATTAAATTCACCTAGCAATAGTACATGATTGGCAGATTCTCTGCAAATGAGACGGTAGGAGTCTGTCTGTGGAAACCCACAAATGAATGACAGTAGATAGGGAAATGTAGTTTATATAATTAGTTTTGCTTATAGGTACACACTCTAGAGAGTAAAACGGAGATTTATGAGTTCATTTCTAAAAATATATTTTACGTTTCTCTCTTCTTATCAGGGAGGGCGGTGCCCCAGCGCCCCCTATGGGCCGGCCGCCACTGGCTGTAGTATTGATTTGACCATCATGCATGTACATGCCAACCTTTTATTAATGTCCATAAAACTGAAGGTTATCTGAATTTATCATAGCAGTTTTCCAACCTTGGATAGCGTGTTTACTGTTGATCCCACGAAAGGTGAAGGACAGGAGCTCAGAGCTTCAGTTAGAGATATTTCAATCAAGGCAGGTTTTTCTATCTTGCTAATGGTCTGATTATTTGACTCAGTTATGTTAAATCAGAGAATTACCTAAAAGGTGTAGAAAACGGGATCTCAAAGGCTGGAATACTTTCTCTAAATATAGAATCATCTTGGGAAAAAAGTTTCAGAAGACTTGAAATCCAGCCAGGCGCATTCACTCACTCATACACCTATATGAAGATTTTTTTAAGGCAACTTAGGGATAGAACTCTAAACACACAGTCAGATCTAAAGTATTATGGATTAAATGCAAACACAATTGGTTTCGACAAACATTCATGACTTAAATAAATGTGGAAATATATAATTTGGAATAAACAAATGTAAATTGTAAGAGGATGTTAGAGGAATAAAGAACAATAGTGCAATGTTTTGCAGAGGAAGAGAACCATGGCAGATAGTGGCGGGCGCTGCAGCTGGTATTTAGGCCTTCAGTATGCACCACTCTTCTTAACCCCTTGATGTCTGAATCTATATATAATGTATGAATATTTGTGTATATGTATATGGGTATATAATAATGTACACTTTGAGAGACAAGTTCTAAAAGAAACAATAACTTGACAAAGAGTTCTTTTCACTCAAAGTGCAATAACTGGCACTGAGGGAATGGACATGCTATTTTAGTAATACAAAGTGTTGCATATTTGCAAATTGCAACAATATGTGACACTTTTACATATTAATAAAAGAAACAAACAATATTATTTAAATATGAAATATAACAAGCGCAGGTATAACCAAGAGGAAAATTAGTGCGAGGGTAAATATTGAGGTCAATTAAGCGAGAAGCCCAGTTAAGACAACTGCAATTCTCTACTATATAACCACAGCTCCACCACAAATACAGGAGCAAGAGCTGTTCAGATTAAATAGGCATTGATTTACCAGATAGAATGGTGCATAAAGCATGGAAATACAATATATCACACTCACCAGAGTTGATAATTATTCATGAACAAGATCCATCCCTCTGTCTTTGTAGAAGTTCTTTAATGTACATGTTGACAACCCTGAAGACAAAGATGCAAAAGAGGACATATTTTGAACCTGGTCATTAATAAAGGTCTAAATATTTCTAATATTTCTGTAACTGATGTCGCCCTATCAGACCATTTTTTTCTGTTAACTTTTAAACCCTTTTCCAACTGCTTTAATTACCAAAAGAAATGTTATAAGAAGGTGTTTGTCATGGACAGTACAACAAAAACTTTACCCAGATTTACCCTTCCTCTTCCAGTCTACCCTGTAACTCAGTAGAAGAGCTGGTTGATCATTTTCTTTCTAAAGTTGCAGGCATCATTGATTCCATTACTCCAGTTAAAGTGAAAGTTGTCTCTGGGAAGATTAAACCTCTATGCGGAAATGCTCCAGCAGTGAGAAATTAAAAACCGAACAGATGTGAAGACAGAAAGGACTCAAAGTCCACAATGAAATCTATAAAGAGAAATCTTACACATTTAATTTACCACTAAAAGATGCAAGAGAATCTTTCTTCTCTGAGATTATCAACAAAAACATCAACAATGTCCATGCCTTATTTGCCAAAGTCGACAGGTTAACAAACCTTTCTATCACACAAGCTGATAAACTCATTAAAAAGAGCTGCAAAGACTTTGCAACTCTAAGTATGGTCCCTAGAAGCCAAGCTTTTTTAACTCTTATAAATGTACAATCTGCTGCCAGTTTTAGCTGAAAAAGGTCTGTATGTGTAATTAATGGATTTTTCGGTGGCATCTCTGATTTTTTTAACCAACCAGTCTCCTAACTTTTTTTTAAACATCGGAGTAGCTGCCAGTTAAAATTCACTGAGTGCTGCTGCGAATTTATGTTAAAAGGCTTGCCATAAAGGGTCAGATTAAATAGCCTGTATGTTAAACTGGCTTGCTATATCAGGTATCTCTTCTCATCCTTGTAGCTACTCTGTACGCAGTGAACGTCCCAAAGCGACAGATCTGATGATATTTCACCTAAAGGTGGGAATCGAGAGCAGCGGCAGAGCGAGGAGAAAACACGGACTGAAAACTCTCTGAACACAGACAGCTGCAATCAACCCTAGTTACTGCTGGCTGAAGCAAATCAGCGGAAAGGGGGAAAAAAGTGGAAATTATTGGTGGGGACTGTCCCCACCATGCCCAAAGTTGGTGGTCCACACCAGTCCTTCAGAAAGTTAGGCCAGTTCTCCGACTCTGGAAGATTCACAGCGCTGGTTTTATTGGACCTCAGTGCAGTGTTTGATACTGTTAATCGTTTGATTAACAGTATCAAACACTGGAAAACAGGCTGGAAAACAGGCTGATCTCAAACATCTAATAAACAAAAGTGTGATTGATTGATTGAAGAAAATATTCTTCAATATTGTTAAGGTAACATCAGCCAGGACTGCAAATTCTGAAGGCCCTGGGCAGATTTGATTGACATAGCAACACACTTATGCTGAAATCTGATTGGGCAAAAATATATATGAATGGAAGCAGTGCAGCCAAGAGAAAGTCTACAAATAAAGAGGACGGATTGTTTGGAACGGCTGCTCAGAGTCGCAAAAATCTAGTAGCTATATAAATATCTAAAAGATCATATAAAGCTATTATTTGGAATGAAAAAAAACATTTAGCACTGGGATCCTATCCCAAAACCACTGAAGCTATCACCTTATTGTTTTTAAATAATTAGTAAAACAGAAATTTTTAAAGAAAAAAAGTGGTATAGATCCAAAGGACCTATCAGTAACCATGTCGATTCGAGCGCATATTATCATAAGAATTTCTTTGAGTATAATGTCTTCAGAACAGGGGCCAGGACATGATCTACAGGGGCACTGGCCCCCGTTGGCTCCTGTCTAGAACCGCCCATGTTTATACCACCCTGGATATGATCACTGATATTAGGGGATTATGCCTAATTCTAGAGTGCTATTAACTACACCTCCTCCACCTCATCTGAAACAAAAAAGCTGCACACTTCTGAATGATTACCAAATAGGACAATTATTAAAGTTTATATAGTGATTCACTCAAAACTTAAGTAAAGAGTTACAAATTTCATAAAATAAAAGGGTTATTTTCTTCAAAATAAATGTAGCCAGGGGCGCCGTATTAGGGGGACAAGCTAGGAAGATTCTAAAGACCCTTGATTGAGGGAAAGGGAAACAAAGCATGAATAAATTCACCATTCAAGTTTTTTTTAAAGGTTTTATTTAACATATATCTAACGGTTTCTTGTTCTGATAATTTTCGTTTGTAGAAATTAAAAATTACATTGAACATGTAAATGATACTCTACAGTGCATCTTTACAGCAGTTTTAAAGCCTGCATACATTTTTTTTTGGGGGGGGGGGTATTAATGTGTTTCATGGGGCCACAAATTCCTGGCAGCGCCCCTGCATTTAGCAGAGGGGCCAGTTAGGTGTAAGTCTGTCCTTATTGGGTATGAGAAAGTTTGCAGCCCCTAGTTTACAGCCAGCAGACCTGCAGTTTGAGCCACCGGGTAGAGGGAGGGAGGGTGAATCTGCAAGACTGAGCTCACCACGCCTCAGCGGTGAGTTTGTCAGCCATATTGCCTGCCTCCTCTGCTGTCTTGGGAAACGGGTAGAGGAATTAGAGCGGCCGTGCTGTCACTGAGCTCTCGTCAGCGCTCCTCATCCAGTAAACAGCGCGGGGGGGCGGGGGGTTCTAACGGGAAAGCGAAGGCTCTATTTTTACCCGCCGAGGAAAGAATAAAGCAGCAGGAGGGGGTGACAGCGCCTTCCATCCTCCGCGGAGCCGGTTGGCGTGTAGAGGTGAGTTTGATCTGCTTACCGCCGCTGATATGAGCGGGGATTCAATGTTTGTTCTTTGAGGTTTTTACAAGTTGTTTGGCAGAATGTAACCGCTGCCTGTTTTAGTGGCGGCGGGTTTGGATGTGGGTTTTTTTTCCCGCCTCGGTGTCTGACCGGCTTTCTAACGGGGGGAGCGCAGCTTTAATCCCAGGTGGTGTCGCTTGTCTCTCAGGTGTCAGCAGACGTTATGCAACAGAGTAGCCTCGGTAATAGGATGCTGGAGGCTCCGCTCCTAATCACTAAACTCTGCTTCATTACAACACCGGTTCCTCTGGCTTTTATTATCTCTATAAACTTCTTTGGGCGTTTTTTTTTTGTTTTTTTTTTAATTATAGAAACTTTCTGTATTTGGTGTCATTGCGTTGTTTGAGTAGTTCAGAGAAGAATTCATGTTTTAGGCGTTTTTTGCAACTTTTGGAGAGAGGGGGAGTTACGCCCCCCGCCAATTGCGCAATTTAGATTCCGCTTCTTTTGAACTGTTTCCCCCTTTTATTATTTAAAGCCGAATATTCCATTTATGGGAAGTTTTAAATCGTGAGATTAAGGGGAGCTTACATAATTTTTTTTATTAAGCCTTTATTTTTATTTTTTTTACTGTCAGTCATGGAAACCCTATCCAGGCACTCGTTAGGATTTTGGACGTAAACCTCGGTCCTGAATACGGTTCCAGCAGCGCTGCTACACCTGAAAATCTCTCCGCCGCCGGCGCGAGATAAATAAGCAGCCGCTGATTGGCTGCATTCAGGGAGATGAGGCCATTTATTGGTTCGTTTCTCTGTAGGTGAAGTTTTTCCTCCTGCTGCCCCTGCTGGCAGTGGCGGTCCTAGACCAAATGTATGAGGGGGCCAGGACGGGGCCGGTGTTGTATTTTTTTATGGGGCGCAGAAAAGCATGAAATAATAGAGAAAACAGGGCAAGGGATTCTAATATATTAAGAGGGCTGCATTGAAGTAAAACAAAACATTTACATTCAATTAGGTTCAATTAAAATGATATGTCTTCCAACTGAAAATATTTATATTTGGCTTGAAAATGTTCATTTGGAGTATCGTTAAAATCAAAATCCAGTTGCTACATAAATATCTAAAAGATCAAATAAAGCTATTATTTGGAACGTTGGGTCAATATACATTCAGAACTTATACATTTTTCATATTTCTAACTTAATTTAAGCAAAAAATATAGTTTTTTTTTTATAAAATCAGAATGAGAACTAAAAAAAAGGATAAATTAGTCTGTAAAAGTTAGACTATTTGTTTTGAAAAAAAATTTAGCTAATGAAAACTGGGATCCTATCTCTTTTCATGGGGGCACAGAAAAGCATGAAATAATAGAAAACAGGGCAAGGGGTGAAATATATTAAGAGAGCTGCCTGAAGTGACATTTCTATTCAATTAGGTTTAATCACAATTCTGTTCTTATCAGGTCAATATGCATTCAGAATTTAGGAATTTTACATATTTTTGACTTAATTTAAGTTAAAAATGACAGTGTTTCTATAAAATTCTGAATTAGAACGGGAGAAAACTGATCAATTCAGCTGTAAAAATTATTTTTCATTTGTTTAAAAAAAAAATTAGCAGATGAAAACTTAATTTAAGTTAAAGTTAAAGAACTAAAAAAAACAGATAATTTCAGCTGTAAAAAGGAAAGTATTTGTTTTTGTTTTGAAAAAAACATTTAGGAGATGAAAATGTTATACATAGATGATCCTATCGCAATACCATTGAAGCTGTCGTCTTATTGTTTTAAATAATTAGTAAAACAGATTTTTTTTAAAGATAAGATGTCTGTTCCAGCGCATACCATCATAAGAATTTCTTTTAGTATTATGTCTTTAGAACAGGGGCCAAGACAGGATCTAAAGGGATACCAGCCCCTGTTGGCCCCTGTCTAGAACCGCCCATGCCTACTGGGACCGAATTACAGCCAATTCGATAAAGAGGCTCTGTGGGTGATGATTTGAGTTAGGCTACCTTTGATGGCTGGTTTTGGACCTCTAAAAGCTGCGCTATTTTTTTTATTTATTTTTTTTTCATTCCAAAAAAGAAAAAAAAAAACAATCCACTAGACTTTGTATTTTTTTCCCATTTTGGTTGATTTTTTGAATAACCCTGATGAAGAAAAGAAAAACCAGTTCTCCTTGGTCTGCTATTAAATTTCTTAATCCAAAAATAGTCCGTGATCCCTCATCCATACATCTCCACATTTAGATGCAGTGGCTTCTCTGGATTTTGTTTTGTCAGGGGGCAGAGAGGGGCACCGTCTTTGACTAAACGGCTTAAGACCTCCCTCAGCACATTATTTTTTGTTATACTGTACTGACAACCATAGGAGAAAAAGGATTAGATTATTTTCTTTTATTTGATTTGATCTAAAACCATGGCAATATTTTACGATTCAAGGATAACTCTTTTTCCATATTTAAAGGTCTGTAGAGTATCAACTTTGCTGCCTTGTGTTTTCCATGCTCATTCTTACATGCCTTGATTTGCAGAACCCACTGTGGCCCTGGCAACTGCTGCTCAGTCCCTCCCTGATTCTTTCCTTATGCTTACTGGCTGCATACAACACATTTTCTGTCACAAACAACTAATTAGATATAGAACTAGTGCTGCAACTAATGATTATTTTGCAAATCGATTAAACTGTTGATTAATTTTTTGAGTAATCGATTAATAATCAGATAGCCAAAGGTCCCTAATGAAATTATGAAATTAAATAAGGTGAAACTAAAACGTTTTCATTTAAGGAGTTCTCAATAGAGCACACTGACAGATGCAAAATTTTTTATTTTTATTTTTTTCTTAAATGCAAAATGCTTAATTTTTTTTTTTTAGCAATTTTGGTATAATTGCCATTCAAGATGCATTGCTCAACTAAAGCTACAAATTAGACTCTCTATTCTCCAGTTAACGATTAATCGGTTACTAAATGACTTGACGATTATTTCAATAATTGATTAATCATGATTCATCCGATTAATAGTTTCAGCCCTATATAAAACCTTTACTATTCTTTGGTAATTCGCAAGTCTGGTTTAAATGTCCCTAATTCAACACACCCGATTCAAATAAAAATGATCCCCTAACATTTGGGACAACAAGGAAATGTCTAAAACAAGGATCACCAGAGATGAACGTCCCTGTGATGCCTCTAAACATATCACACTCATGTACTAATGATACCTTAATACCTTCTGTGATACTTCTGATATTTTTTTGAAAACTCTGCTTTTCTTGTAAATCAAGTGTGCATGAAGTAAATAAAATGTATTTCCCTTTGGTCACTTTCCAAAAATATAAGAAAAAGTCAGGAAGACAGACAAAACGACATGCTATACATCTAGGGGAACACTAAATCCACATGGACCAAATATTTTGAAGTTCCATACAGCAGCTTATAACATGGATGTTATTTTCCTTTTCAAGCATATCATGGTAAACATTATTTTAGGTCACTTAAGGTTGGGTTGTGCTTGAGGCACGTGTAATCCAGTTGGAAAATCTTATGCTCATCTCAATGTCTGCAGCTTTTATTCTCTGTGCAGCTTTTCCACCATTCTGGCCGTGTCAGAACAGCATACACTGTCAGATCAGCATACGCTTAGTTTTTTTAAATCTAACTATCTGAATTAATCCAGAATCACAATATAAACCACAGCCAATGTTTTCTACGATTTTAAAATTAAAAACAACATGTAACGAAATTTAAAATCCTGCATTTATTTTACTACTAAAGTAACTTATTTTAAATTTACTGATATGATTTTATCTATAGAGGCTTCTTCTCTCAACATCCCCGAAACCTCAAATTATGTCTGGCCATTTCAACATCCTAGAAATAACAGTATAATTAAAGCTGATTTTCCCTTTTAAAAGTTAAAATAAGACATGTTTGCTGGTCGGTACACTGCTGCTAAAATTCAGTGTGGCAACAATTCTCTGTTGCGCATGTGTGTTAGAACAATATATGCTGATCTGACATCGTATGCTGTTCTGACACAATAACAAGCTGACAACACTAAACTACACAAGGTCGTAGAAAACACAGCTGATTACAACTTTTTCAAAGGTGGGTCTAGGTGGAGTAGTATTTTTATAAATAAAATCCAAAGTTTTGTAAGCCAAACATTTCCTAGACTGTGTTATTGGCTTGACTTGTTCCCATTATGTATTCTATTGCAAAGTTTTCCTCCAGGTAAGGCGTGCCCATTAGGGGTGGGTATTGCCAAAGGAGTCACGATTCGATTCGAATCACGATTCACAGGCCACGATGCGATTCTATCACGATGCATCACGATACTTGAATTATTGCGATGCATTGCAATATTTTCTCCTCCATGTTTTGTTTTTGAATGACACAACGCAGTAGAAATGCTTGTGACACAAGGCAGTGTGCATCAACACATCAGCAGTGACATCTACTGGACTGGAAGTTGTATTACACTTGTTTTTGGCTGATGTTCACCAACCATTCATGCAATTTTATTTACTCATTTTTTAAAATTAATAATCGATACTTGGCGTCAAGAATCGATGCAGTAGATCATGAAAATTAGAATCACGATGCATCATCATGACGATTATTTTGCACACCCCTAGTGCCCATGCACCTGACTCTGCTGTCATAATAAACATGATTGCTCAGACTAGGTCCAAATCTAACTACAATCCACAGTGGATTCTAAAGGCTGGTTTATACTCAGAAAACAAGTCGTCTGCGCGTGTCTCAGTGAACGCAGATACGCCCCCGCCCATTCCTCAGACACTCTGCTGCACCTCTCCAAAACTGTAGGTGACCTCGGACAGGAGGGCTCTGATTGGTCAAATCTACATAGGCTCTACACTATGCATATTTCCTGTTTGGTACCATACCGGCGAGATGCGCGAGAACACTGGGACCCTTTTTCCACCTGGATCCCCACTCTTTGTCGCCCTCATGTCCCTCCGTTGTCGCAC